CATCGTGGTTGACATGAGTAGGCAAAAGTATCATTCATTGAACTATCACAGTGAAGTTGTGTATTACCACAACTGAAAACAAGAAACAAATCAGCAGTTTACTTGATTATTTGTAAACAGACGTGAATTCATAATCCAAATAGTACTTACAATCCCCATTTTGAACAACAAAAACCTGGTCCACATGATGGTTGACATGATGCGGCATAAGTCGAATTCGTTTGCATATTGTAATCACAGTGAAATGGTGTATTACCACAACTAATAGTAAAAAAAGAAATTAAAACAATAAACTTAGCTAATCGGTAAAGAAATATGAATATATAGTGGGAAAAGTATTTACTATCCCCATTTTGAACAACAATTGCCAAAACCACATCCAAATTGTTGACAGTCTTGTGCTGTTAAGTATGAAATAGATATATAAAGTGTATTCTATTTAAATGTCTTTCAAACATAGAAGATATTCACCAATCGACTTATTTGTTTGAACCAAAACAACAAGAATTATAAGAATAGTCTCTTTGATTATGTTCATTATTATACGGGCTTTTAATCAAATTTATTGATAAAGGATGTTGTTGGTAGTTAAAATTTCAAATAATTCTTTTTATTGGAGAAAAATAGTGAACAAATGGTTATAACAGCTATTCAATGATATTTTTCCTCTCTGTCTGTCTCGTTTTCTCCTTCGGATGTAATTAAAAAATGAGACGAAGGATGTAAAAAAATGATGGTATTTATTCTTTTGGTTGTTTTTTTGAAATAGAAACATAAGTACATATCGAAGATATGTGAAAAAGCACCACAGAATTTTTTTAGTTTTTGCCCACATAAAAATATGAAAAAGAGCAGACAAGAACTCTTGATGAAAAGCAGTTTTTTTTTGCTTGTGTATATCTTCCACTTCAGTAAGAAAAACAAATGCAAGTTTGAGTCACAAGTAATATCTCTTCGATATTTCAATATTAAGATAGTATTTATCGACGACCAACTGTAAAGAGGACAAGAAATAAAATCTGACTTGCTCTCTTTGTCTATGTGTTTTTGTACGTAATATAATATCGGAGGATGGCAATGATCACCAAACATTTATATTCCTACTTGACATCAATTACGTACTAATAACGGTAAGAACCGACAAGCGGTAGTGCTTTTTATTGATTAGCCTTTACATGAAAGATATCTTACGCAGTAGGCTTTAAATCAAAAGTAGCTCATTTACCTAATAAAATTTCAATATTAACGAGAACTTACCTTCCTGCTACAAATAAAATTTTCAAAACGCATAGAGATCTGTTTAGAGTATCAACCTTGAAAATTTTAGAAATTTTTACAATACTTTCAAAAAATTTCCAAATGTTCTGTTCAAAAATACTTTTTTCCTACTATCATTCTAACATGTAACAAAAAGGCACTTTTCCAAAGTTCATTTCAAAATCAGGTTAGTTAGAATATTTCGCATTAGCAACTTAATTTCATCTTCCACAAAACTTGATAACAGTGAGAAATGAAAATTAAGGTCAAAAAACACCGAGGTTTAGTTGATTTAACAGAGAATATGAGAGGCAGTGAAATGGCAAGACTCTATTACTTGACATATTTAATAGTATCACTCAACAATCTTGATGTGTCTCTATGACAGATGTAAGTTTATCTTTTCGAATAAAAGTTCATTTTGAAAAAACAAAATTTGACAATATGTAGCAAAATGGAAACTAAAACAATCATGATATTGCAATATGACTTTATCGAAGTCGCACACATTTACTTACGAAGAAACTTTTCTAAATAATATCTTCCGCTTGAACATATACTTCGCTCATAAGTAAAACTCATAATATAAATGAAAACCTAAAAACCGTTCGTGCCTTTAGACTTTTAGTCTCAACAACTGGCATGATACTTATAATATTCTGAACAAATCAGCTCAAACTAATGCTTCTCTGCCGAGATAACAAGATTGCAAAAAAAAAATGATGTTCTCACAAAAAGTCGCAAAATAACTCATTTTTAAATATCTCATATCTTAAAGGATGAAAAGAGCTTGTTGTGATTGTTTCTACAATATCCTGCAAAAACACTAAAATAACTGCAACTCAAGAAGAAGAGTCTAAGGGGAGAAACCTTTTTGGAGTTTTCATTTAAACTGTAAATCTCAGTTATAAGCAAAAGTATGCTGAAATATAGAGCAACAATTGGAGACGTTGTCTCATTATTCAATCTAAGATTTTCTTTAAATTGTGAAAGAATAAGAGATATTTTAATACAAACAATATATGTACTTGAATAAACAACGAAGATGATGATATGATGAGAACAATCAAGACATGAAAAACACAAAATATTAAAGGAATAATTTCATATGTTTATTACATATCTTATCTTTTCTTTTTTTGATTATGCAAATTTATTTTGCCAATTGGAAGCGCTTATAAAACTAGAATACATATCTTATTTACTAATACGTTTACGTCAAAAAAGTATTTGTGATCACTAAAAATGAATATATTTTCTGACAGTTGAATTCATTCATTTGCTCATACAATAATTATATCTATGTAAATTGTTTGTAAAATAATCATCTTTTTTTGTCATGCTATAAGTCGAGTATCCTTATTACTATTTACTATAATAAGACAAATATCTTCTTTTGTGCTATTCTATAAATCCCCAATATGATTATGTGTGCATTGGTCAATAATGTAATGCAATTCATATTATGCTGTAGACCTACATGTAGAAAAAGATTCATTGCCTTTTAGAATGGTTTTCATGATGATATTTAATGGCAAACATAACTATTGCTTAAAATCTTCCTACAAATAATCGACGATAAACCTTGTTATTAAGAAAAAACAAACTTGTACTGTAATCGATATGTTTTACAAGTATACGACTAAAAAAAATACCTTTTTGTGTAAAATAAGTATGCCTTCAAGGATGTGAAGAGGGGTGTACAATTTCAGTTTACCGACTGCTGACATCATTGGCTCTATGTAATTAGTGCATACTAGTACACACTGCTACAAAAAGGATGTATTTTCATAGAGGTGGTATCTCCATGTTTGCAGAGCATGCAAATGTCAATATAGTCAGTGCTGCAGTGAATATTGATGCCAGTGTCATAAGTACCTTGATGGAGTCTGTGTCGGTGTCTCGCTGTCAGTATTTACATCAATGCTGCATATCTTTAGATATAAGCAAGCTGCTATATAATCTATTTCTTGACAGAAAATATTAATAGACAAATGAAAATTCAAAATTCAATATATTGGGTAGAAATAACAACAATAAATACGTACAAAATCTAATTCCTGCTGTTTGTAATATTTATCCATAGAATATAATCGTTAAATTTTTGCTTTTCTTGTTCAGATATGTGTATCTGAATACTCAATTTTCTCTTTTGAAACACTTCAAACATTGTAAAATATTTGTTTAACGGAAACAACCCTCAGGTTCTGCAATGAAATATATATGTAAATTTAAATTTTCATAATTTTAGACATATTAAGTAATTCGATATTGAAATAAACAAACAAAATAAGACGATAAAACGAAAAAGAAGTGGATTGGATTTTGTTGAATGTGTTATTTTACTTTCCTGTTGAACAGCTGGTATTTTTCACATATACTGTTAACTAATGTTGATGCACGTGTGACTTGCAGACAGTAGGTAAAAAAAAATTAAATAAGTCAAAAACACAAGTTGTTAGTGATCTTTGTTTTTCAGTAGTTGCAAGAGAAGACATGAAGATGTCTTTTCCTTCGATAAAATATAGGACGAAATCATTTGGAAACCAACTATTTCTGCAAAATATTCACAAAAAAAATTATGCAAGTTGTCGTCTGTCATCCGGATGAAAGTTTCATAACAAGAGAACTTGCTTATCACTCAATAAAATTCCATGTTGTTCTATCGGAAAGATATATAATTTTTTTTTTGCTCAACCTTAATATGTGAAATGATCATCCTTTAGGTTGCTTTTTGAACTATACAACTTAAGTCTCGCTATCTCAGAAGCATGTCAAAATCAAATTTTTTATTGAAATAACAAACCATTTTTATACATTTTCTTGAAACATTCTGTAAAAAGCATTTGTTGTTTAGAATGATTTCATCCTATGTATTAGCGAAGAAAAACAAGTTCCCATATCTTGTCTTTCTATTGTTGAAAACAGATGATTCCTAACTTGTTTGGTTCTGAATTTATTTAATTATTCAACGAGTACCTTTAAGTTTTGCACTAACCCAAGTTCTAGAGAATATGTATTGTTTTTATCTTAATGCAGATTTATTAATGCTTTGGCCTCAATGAAGTTGGTACACATATTGTAAAATGACTATAACACCAGTTTCATTATATTAAATATATTAATCAGATAAGAATTTATCTGAATACATTATCTGTAAAGTTCAATCTTAAAATCTATAATTTCAATATATCAGCATTCGTTATCGTATGTAGTTTTGAAAATTGATAAGATAGAAAACATATTCATACCAGATATGGAAATCATTCGATTTCGAACTGAACTGAACTGAAGCGAAATTGGTTGAGTTTCAAAAAGACACGAATTCATTTCATTGCTCATCCATACATATAATTTCTAAGAGACAATGTTAAAATTCGTTTCACTAATTGTCGAGATTGGTTTTTATATAACCATGTTTACATGCAGATAAGTTTCGAATTTGAGTAGTCATAGTCAGTTTGAAATAACTGTTATAATACTTTAATTAATTGTTTAAATCTATTTATATCACCTTCATTAATAGAAAAACTAATGAATTACTCGTTATACTGGCCAAATTGTAATTATCTTTTAATAAAATAAAGTTATTAACAAGCTGCCAAGAATTTAAAATTTAAGCGAAATGACTTTTTGAATTTTTCTTTGGCATGGTTGGATAGAACTCATCGATACATTATTTTCAACGTATTCAAAGAATATTTTTGCAGTGGGACTTAAATATATATATATATATAAAGCTATAAACACGAGTTTGTATTCTAAGATATCCGATAATCAGAACTTCAGTTTCAATAGAAACAAATATCGTATTTATAAATAGCACAAAAACCTACATGAAATAGTATACTCAACATTAGTTTTCATCGGATTTCGAACTCACAAGAAACATTCTTCAATTAATAAATCACTTTTGTGTCGAGATTATATAGATCAAAATCAGTTTTATATATCATGAAAAGCATTCATGTTCTTAGCTAATTGTTGTGTAGATATTGCACTTTTACGGCTCTGTTTAAATGAATGCTGAGATTCTTCTCAGGAACGCAAGAAAAACTTATTTTCAAATTTCAACTTGAAACTTTACCTATAGACAAAACTTAATAGGAATAGTTTTCTTTTGTGAATGTTTCAGACCTTGCCACTTTTTCTATTCTATAATACAACTTTGATAACAGCGTATACTCTATATCGTTTATATAAACCAGCAGAGTTTATAGTCTTATTTCAGGATAATCACAAATCAAATAAGGTGTCTTTTTGACAATAAACTACTTTTTGTCAAGATTTATTTTTATGTGAAAATTTCAAGTTAAAATTCAAAAATCAGTTTTTTTATGTTTCAAAAGCGAACCACGCCATCTGTTTTAAACCTATCGTAAAAGTGCAGTAATCTGCTCAACAATCAGCTAAGGTCATGATCTCTTTTCAGGATATTCATAGTTCACTTTACTATATATATAACGAACATCGTCATCGTAAGATCAAAACTCAATGAAACTTAGTTTTGAGTATATGAATCGACGACAGTTTTGTAATGCTTCTGAATGTGATATTTTTTTTTCGAAATGAAAGTTTTGATAGTCAATATCTTAGAATACAAACCCCATATTTATGGTCTTTTTTTTACCTGATTAAAAGAAATTGATTTACTTAACAATTAAACAAAATTTTTTCTTAATATGTCAAAAATAGTACTTCTATAGACAACATCGATAAGCTCTATCCAACCATGACAAACAAAATACAAAGAAACAATTTTCTCGAATTTCACATTACCAACATCTTACACATATGAAATGAAAACAAAATAACTGAAATTCTTTTTTTGAACGACTCCTCTTTATATCATTTATGGACTTTATCATCGTAATCATTCTTATTTGATAATAAAAACCATTTGTCCAAGTGGTCCTTCCTATTAAAATTACAATTTCTTTCCGATTCAATTTTTCAAACTTCTTATTATATCAATAAGAGATTTGGTAAGATATGTTGAGTACTTCTTCATACTCAAGTTTGATCTCGAAGCT